GGTGAGCATTATTGCTGGAAGGTGAGCATTGCTGGCGGGGTGAGCGTTATTGCTGGCGGGGTGAGCGTTATTGCTGGCGGGGTGAGCGTTATTGTTGGCAGGGTGAGCGTTATTCCTGGCGGGGTGAGCATTATCCAAGGCGGGGTGAGCATTATCCAAGGCGGGGTGAGCATTATTGCAGGCGGATGAGTATAGCAGGCGGGTGAGTATAGCAGGCGGGTGAGTATAGCAGGCGGGTGAGTATAGTTGGCGGGGTGGGTATGGCTGGCGGGGTGGGTTAACTCTGGCGGGGTGGGTGTCGCTGGCGGGGTGGGTGTCGCTGGCGGGGTGCGTGTCGCTGGCGGGATGGGTATCGCTGGCGTGGTGGCATGAATCGTTGGGTGAGTATCGCATGCGGGGTGGGAATTGCTGGCGGGGTGGTATGGCTCGCGCGGTGGGTATCGCGGGCGGGGCGAGCCGCGTGGGCGGGTTGGGCGGGGTCGGCAGCGTTGGCGGGGTGGGCAGCCTTGGTTGTGGACATCGTTGGCGGGGCGGGCAGCGTTAGCCAGGGGAACAGCTCTTTCACAGTGCTGGGTGGGCTGAGGAGAGTTGGCGGCGATGACGAAAGTTGGGGGGCCGAGGAAAGTGGGCGGGGTGAGCAGGTGAGCAGATTTGGTTGGCGTTCCAGGGGCCTAATCACAGTGCGTCTGTGGTGCTCCCGTGTGTCCACGGCTGTGGTTGTCCGGTGGCGCCCAAGGGGTCTATATCGGGGGCTGTCAGGAGTCGTACAGTGTGCTCGTTTCTCCTTATTGAAGTGTGCTTATCGGCGCGGTGTATCGGCCATCCTCATCTTCTCCGTGCCGTGCGTAGTAAGTCCGATATGTCTTCGCCGCGAGAATTCCGTGGGGGCTGGTTTGCGCGTCTTGTGGGAATGAAAGAGTTTTAGCGGCTGTCTGTTGGAGACTGAGTATGGTGTGGAATGTGGTGGAAGTTACCTTTGCGGTGATATGTAAGGACTTTCGCTTAATTATCGTCACGGTTATTTTGCAGATTTGTTGACGAAGGAGTACACATACGACCAGAAGTTTACCGTGACTACGACGTCTCCGAATGGACTGGTAAGTTTGATCTTTTATGGTGGTCTCATCATGTGTAAGCATGGCATTGGCAGTGTGGGTTGGCCGATACCCGGGGCGGCGGGTGCATGTCTCAATTTCCGCTGTTTTTTTTGCCTGATTCAGTGATTCTTGCTCAATTGCTCGTTTTGGTCCTTATCTTTTGCTTGTCGTTTCCATGCACCTTCGTTTTTCTTCGTCTCCCTACCCTCTTCGCCCTTGGTAGTCTTGTCCTCCGGTTTCTTTTCGGTTTCTCTTTGCACTCGCAATTATCTGCGGTGGCTTCCCGTGTGCTTTTTGCCGCGGTCCCTGTTTCCTCCCTCTTGGCAGCTTCTACTCCGTTGTCTCGTCGGGGTGTATTCTATCGTCCCTAGTGTCCCCATTTCGTCAGTCTGACTTGTTTCTTCTCGTATTGGTGAGGTGAATTGTACATGATGGTCTGTCATTGAACGGGTTGTCATCGTCCTGGCTTTTCATCTCTGGGTGTCCTGCTGTGATCTCTTCGTCGTCTCCCTTGTATTCGGACGTTCGTTCTGCTTACGCGCGTTACCTGTTTCTCCGCGTGTTATACCGTCTTCCCGTACTCGTTTTTGTTCCTCCATCACTTGACTCGTCTGAAAAGTCTCGTCATTCCGAAAAAGGTGATAAGATAGGAGACGGCACTCACAGTGTCAAGGAATACGATTTATGGAACTCTTGGTCAGTGATTGTCAGTGTGTGGAAGTGGTTACTCACTGGTTATACTCGACATTTCGACTCCCGAGTTATGGGAACAGCGGGGTACGATCATGGGTCCTATGCTGTCGTCGAAGCGTCTTTTCCCTAACTAGCCGTTCAGCTCTCCTCATTTTCCCCCTCTTGTTTCTGTGTTACGGTGGCGGGGTAATGTGTTTATACGCTGTGCGGTCACATGCATCTTAGGGCATTTTCGTTGATGTCGCGAGGGTGACAGTACAGTGGAACGTTATGAACTATTGGCTACGTGTCTGTTTTGTTGTTCTTTAGTTTCTGGCGGAATGTCCTGCGCGAGTACTATTAATGAAATTATGCTGCTCTCTTCTATCCCCTAACGGGTTGTCATCGTCTTTGCGTCCTTAGCTTAGTGGGGGGCTCTCATCTTTCAGGACTAGTGCATGTCTCATCCGTGGAGCCCTTCGACATTCTGTGTGCCCTTTGCTCCATATTGGCCCCCGTCACCGGTTACCTATCCTTCTTGAAAGATTTTGAAGAAGAATTTTCATATTTTTGTCCTAATCCACCAATATGTCGGTGGTTGTTGGCAGTTGTTGAGTACTGCGTGTCTGTCTCGTCCATGGAGGGTCTTCGGCATTCTGTGTGTTCTGTCCGCCGTTTGTCCCCAGTTGCCCGTTACCCCAATTTGGCATGTGGTGTCTTTTGTTGAACTGTGGGGAGCCTGTATCACTCATTGTTTGTGCTGGTTAAACTGGATCCTAACTGCGCTGGTTGCTGTTTTTTCCGCCTGGATTACATTTCTATGGTTGTGGGAAAAAAATTCGGTCGTCTTGCAGGCATTTATAACGTCGGGAACGAAGAAGGGAGATTTGTTTGCGGGAGATTTGAAGAGCGAATACAAGAGCGGGAATGTCAGGACAGAAGTTAAGGTTGATACGGCTTCCAAGGTGCGTTCGCAATTCCAATCGCAGTTTTTGTGGCAGTGTAGACGGATATCCGGTCCGAAAATCTGTGGATGGCCGTGGTCTGTTCTTGTATGTTCACTCCTACCGGGAGTGAGATGGAAGGACACGTACGGTATGTTCACTCCTACGGGGATTGAAATGGAAGGACACGTACTATTCTGTGAACTGAGGAGCAGTGGAACACATCTTTAAGTAATCTATACGGTCCTTCAAGAGCATGACGACGGACCGTCATGATGGAGGAATGGGACTTCATTATAAGAACGTCTAGGGGAGCATGAATGGATGGACAGTGGGGCGAACAGGGCTGCATCGAGGTAGAATTGTAGCCAATTGTAGTGTGGGCGGGTTTAGTGTCTGTGCTTTTGTGTCATTTTGTTAAACTTGGTGTCTGAATTAAAGCAAGAAAGGAAGTCCTTAACTGGAAGTAAGAGAGGGAACTGAAAGGTGCCGTCGTGTTTATGGAGTGCAAGCAACTACGCTTGTCAGAATAAACCGGAGATTCTCATTATAACCACTCGAAGGTTGATCAGTTTTTGCTGACTTCCGCCCCCATTGGGACGGGCAGGTGGCGATAAACCAGTTTTAGGACTTACGGCCCCCCTCGGTTATTTGTCGTGTTCATGGGAAAGGATATATGGGGGAGCGAATGTCTATCTCGGAAAGCTTTGAAGTCAAAGCACGTCATGGAAGGGGTGACGAAGACCTTTTGCTGAAGGATCGTGGAGAGGTTAAATCGAACAGGCCAAAGAAAGTGGCTGCGGGTGGTACTCACGTCAGTTGCTTTCTTTTCACAAATGAAACGGGTATGGTAGAATGGGATGCGCAGTCGCAGCGCGTAGCTCGTTTGACAAAGATCGAAGGTAGGACGGGACACAAATTTGCATTTACGATTGGAAGAGGAAGTGCATAATAATATGACGTGCATAGCGCGGTTTTGCGAATGTCTCACAAAATTGAGAAATGCGCGTATCTGCGGAGGTACCCACGAAGTAATTCACCCTTGATTGGGCAATTTTGCTGGAATTCGATGGATTGAGCAAGGGATTTTGCTTCGTAAGGCAAGGTGGAAGATTTGCCAGACCCTGGAAATTGTCGGTGAAGTGAGGGAGAAAGTAGTAATGGGAGTATGCTGTGAATGGAGATTCCAGTTGTTTTTCTCGTCCGATTAGGAAATCAGATTAAAATCCGCTATTGAAACTGGAAGCTGCTGCGGAAATGGCAGTTCGAAATGAAGACGTTCGTGTTAGACGAATCGTGTTTCCGCTCCCAAAATGAACAGTATGGGTGTCATGTTCACGGAGATCCGAAAAGAACTATCTCAGCAGGGGGTCTGTATGTGTGCTAAATTTGTGTATGTGTGCTAAACTTGTTTAATGGGAAGTGAGGGCTATTTCTGCACCGATATTGTACCATAAATCTTAATAACTGCTGTGGGAAATACTATCTAGTTCCCTTTGTGAAGCTGCTGACAGCCGGCGAGACGAAAATAATTCCATCTCCGCAGGCGGTCTGCAGTATGTGTGCTAAGTTTGTTTAACGGGAAATGAAAACTCGAATTCTGCACCGATATTGTATAATAATGATACTCTAATAACTGCTACGGGAAGTCGGACCGGGCTTATGAAGTACGAGTTTATTCATGTGGGGAATTCAGAACCGGGCGGGTCACAGTTTGGGTGAACAGTGGGGCCAGTTTCTTCTTTCAGACTATTTTGTTACTTGTAAGAGTCCGTATTTGATTATTGGCTCTCTTGGTCAATACAATCCGTCTCTTTCGTCTTACGGTTCGTCTGTTTCTCACCGGTTGCTCGATAATTATACTGTTTGGGTTGGTGTTTGGGTTGGCAATTGAAGCTGAAAACCGATCGTATGGTTTTTGTGTTTGGATGCTGTGTGTCAGCTGTGGGTGACTGTGGTGGCGGAGAACCTTACGAATGGATTGACTGCGGGCTTCAGCGGTGCATTACCTGATAACAAGTCTGGAAAGGTATGTATGCGGATTTCGAAATTCTGGTTGCTCTTTCTCATAAAAAAAAAATAAAAAAATTCTGGTTGCTCTAGACGCGCAGAGAGTGTGGGCCTCCGCAAGTCTCCAAATGTGCAAAATGAGACAATCCTCCGGTAGAACATGGCAATAGACATTATTGCCATATTCTTTGTCTTCTGTGCATGTGGAGAGTAGTGGAGCGAGGCCCTATGGGCACATAGAAGTGACCATCGTCCTTCGGGACTCGACTTTGTGTCCGAGTGACAGGTGTGCTTGAGATGGAAGTGAGAAGTGGGGCCCTGTATCGTGCAACGGTGTCTAGCGCATGCATGCGCGAGTTGCTGCTCGTGCGACCATCGTTTTTCTTTTTCTCTTTTCCTGATAAGGACGACGGCCTTGGTCTGCACCGAAAATGACCGACCCCAGGCGATTCAGAATTATGTTTGATTGCATCTGGATTCGAATTGGTGTCTGTATTTCAACAGTTTTCTGGGTGTACCAACTGTTTTAGGCTTTCAATTCGGTCTCATCATCTTTTTCTTTACTTGTTCGGCCACGGAGTGCTCGGAAGTAGTTTTTCTCATGCCAGTAAGGAGTGGATGTTCTCTGCGGACGGCTGAGAGATGGCAGTTTGTCGGGATGCCGTTGACATACCTGATGATGAACATTGGAACGTGGTAATCGGGGTGGAAAAGCTGTCCTCCGGGACATCCGTTCAAGTAGGAACGATGCAGAGAAGAATAGCATTAGAATGGCCCCTGCACAAGGATTACATGCATCAATTGAGAAATGATCGAAATAAAAAGGAGTTCGGGTGGACCATCCCGAGGACAACCACAATGAACGTGGTCATTTCTTATCTTGAGAATATTAGCGGGCTGCTAGGAAGGGCTCAGGTGTGTGTGGTTGGCTCTCAGGTTCACGTTCTTTCTTTTCAGAGCGTTCGGCCTTAGCAGGTGGGCGTGCGGTGCATGTATGCTTGGCTCTTGCTCGGTAAAACTGCTGACGATGTTCATGGATTGTCGGTTTCTTATTGTGCTGCCGCATTGTGTCTGTTTCTGTTTGTCAATTGGGTGGCTCGCGAATTGTGTTCATGTTCAATTCGTTTGCGTTGGGTTCTGCGGAGCAGGCGGATTTCACCTTCGTGCATGAATATATTGGGCTCACCGGCTCCATAGGATTGACTGCGAATCCGAAGGTCGAAGTCACCGCTGCCGTCGGCCACGATGGCAAGTCGGTTGGTGGCGAGATCACCTATGACACAGCATCTGGAACGTTCACAAGATACAATGCCGGAGTTGGCTTCACAAACGCGGATTTCTCAGTTGCTGCGCATGTGTAAGTTTCAGCCTTCCCTGCACCCGCACCTCCACTGGAGATGTTCTGTACCCCGCCCCTTCCCCTACTTTCCCTCTGGTTGTTTGTGGATTGCCGTTTTTGTTCGAGTTTAGCCATCCCTGCACCTGTTCCTCCGCTGGCGAGGTCCTCCTTATCTATTCCCCTCCTTTCCCTGTCCTTTGTTTGTCGCTGCCAACATGACTCCGGTGGAGTTTCGCTTCTATTGTGAGTCCTAAAGTCTCTCGATGAGTCGTCATTACAGACTACTGTGGGTGGATCTGGTGATTGATCAATCGAATTTGGAAGATTCAGCCTTCCCGGCACCCGCACCTCCACTGGAGATGTTCTGTACCCCGCCCCTTCCCCTACTTTCCCTCTGGTTGTTTGTGGATTGCCGTTTTTGTTCGATTTTAGCCATCCCTGCACCTGTTCCTCCGCTTGCGAGGTCCTCCTTATCTGTTCCCCTCCTTCCCGTCCTTTGTTTGTCGCTGCCAACATGACTCCGCTGGAGTTTTGCTGTGGGTGGATCTGGTGATTGATCAATCGAATTTGGAAGATTGTATCGTTAAAGGAAATTGGAACTGCAAGGCGTTTCGAGTACATAGCGGATTGAACTTTTATGGCGGGTGAGTGATGTTCTCTACCAGCTGGGCATCATGCTGGACATTACAGCAGAAAGTTTACCGCTTGGTAACGTAGTCTTGACGCTCGTGCATGACATCGCGTCCATAAGGTTTACCGCATGGATGGCGGTGTGTTTGTTAATTATATCGTGCAGAAAGGACAAGTCACACGTCAACGAAACTCCGGTCTACCATGTGATTAACTCTCCCTGCTGACGTTTATTCTACACATTTTAGCATAAGTTTTTCTCTTCCCTTGGACAAGGGCGGTGACCAATTATGTGATTTCAATGTACGATTGGGTTTCGATCGTATCACCAGCCCTGAGCTTTCAATCGCTTCCCATTACAGCATAACCGGGAGTGATTGGACTTTCGTGGCGCCTCGTATGCGTTGTATCCCAGGATAAGGTCGGTTGGTGAATTTGTAGGAGGAGAGTGAATGTGTAGGAGGAATCGCTTTCCATTACAGCATAACCGGGATTGATTGAACTTTCGTGGCGCCTGGTATGCGTTGTAAGGTCGGTTGGGGAATGTGCAGGAGGAGAGTGAATGTGTAGGAGGAGAGGAATGTGAGAAAAAGATGTCCAAAGGTCTGGAGTGTGAACGAGAGATCTGAAGTGTATATTATATTGGTTGTGTGCTGACTGAAGGGTAGGAGTTTCTTGGATCCGGAGGTCGCTGAGATTCGGTGGGTGTGGATGACGTTGTGTTTGTGAATTGTTGCTTGCAGAGTGGACAAGGGCGACACGTACAAGACATCAGTCTACCATGCGGTAAACCCGCGTACGTGTGTGGGCGTTGAGATTGCCCATGCGAAGAAAGCAGGGCAGGGGAGAGAGAACACGTTCACGGCGGGTCTAGCGCACAGACTTGATTCGCTGACGACCGTGAAAGGGAAGTTGAATAATCTGGGTATGGTGGCTGGTCTGGTTCAGCATGAATGGCGGCCCAAGTCGACTGTGACTATTTCAGGGGAGGTAGATACGAAGGCGCTGGACAAATCGGCAAAGATTGGACTTGGGTTGGCCTTGAAGCCCTGAAAACGGAGGAAGTTGGGAAGTGCGCAGGCTTTTGTAGTTTTGATGTCCGGTTTTTATTCATTCTTCCCCTTGGCTTCCTCGCCGACGTCGCCCCCAACCCCCCCAGCCAAGATACCACCCCGTTCCCTTACCTTTTTCTGAGACAACCTCGCTTTGTCAGATATTGAGGCATGTGGTAAGAAAGCTAGGGAAGATCTTTCATCCATCCGTCTGTATCTATGATGTAAGTGGCTATGGGAAGGTTGTCACATTTGAATTGATCTTCTTTTTTTCCCGTTTTACGCCGATAAGAAAGGGAGTTGTATTGTTGGGGGCTAAAAGAGAGTAATGTGGAAGCGGTGGTACCGTGTGGAGTAGGAGGGTTCGAGGGCGGCTTAAAAGGAAGAGAGAGAGAGAGAGAGAGAGAGAGAGAGAGAGAGAGAGAGAGAGCAAATGGTATTCTTTTGCTGAGATGTGTATGTGTAATTGTGACATGACGAGCAACTTTTCTGCATGGTGAGATGACACTTTCTTTTTGTTGTAAAACCGATGTTTTTTCCTCCTTGGATGGGACGAGGAAATCGATTAATCGGATTGATCATTCGATTTCCCGGTTTGTCCAGAAATTAGAAACGTGATGATTGGATGCATGTAAGGAGTCCGAAGCGCAAGATGCACTCTTGATGTCTTCCGTGTATGAACACGACCCAAGCAGTTTTTACGGGCTGTCCGAGTGCCTTCATAGCAATGCCCGGCTGGACGAAAGTGTCATTGGGCTGGACAAAAGTGTCTTTGGGCGGGGAACACCTTATGGTTGCGGGGCCTGTTGGATGTGGTGGTCTCTTCCTACACTGGCCCCCGATTTAATCCCTCCTTGTGTAATTGTGGATGGGGTTCGTGCACGCATTCTGGTTGGCGATCGTTAGCCCTCGCACATTCATCCATTCTGTTATTCTGAGCATTATCTTATAGTCCCACCTGTTATCTCTGCTAACATTTCACGCTTGTTTGTTACACAGTTTTGTTCTCTCTTCTCACTGAGCGGGAAAGGTGAGAACATTGAGCCCGGATCTTCGAAGTGGCAGAAACGATTTGATGATGGCTTTATGGAGCTGACGGAATTCGTCATTAACCTAAACTTTGATGTGATAGAAATGCCGTGGAGTCTGTCTGTGAGTAATGGCCTCGTCCCGACATCCCCAAAACACCGTTCGCTGAGGATGGCTCCACTCGTTTCACCTCTCCGCAGTACTTTTTACCCCACCAGACCGGAAATCACAAATGTGGTATAATGGCTACCACTGGCCACGTTCGGGGTACACCTGGCTTCCACACAGCTGCTGCTGATATGGGGGTTCGACCCTGCAGCTACGAGAACCTCCTGTTCGCAGCATTTATTGGATGTATGTGTGGCCAGTGGCAAGCACTGGCCGAGTTGGGGGGAATGTATTCCCCCTGCGGTGGTTGATGTGGGGTTCCTGCTTCGAGCTTCTCATGACCTGATGTTGTCATTAGGTGTGGGATGTGTGTTCGATGTTTGTGTGCTTACATTGACAGGGAAATGAAAAGTGGATAAGCGCAACGGTCATCGGAAAGGTGTAGGGATGGCGTGCAGGCAACCTCATGTGTTGTCATTGTTTATCTGCGCCCTTTTCCGCCTTTGACCAAGTATTGTCATTGTGTTTCTCTGCACCTTTTCTCTCTGAGGTGGCATGTGGGTTGCTTCAAGGAACTCATTGATCGACGTAGGTTGTGGAAAAGGAATGTCCGAAATCGCGAATCGCAGTCCCGAATGGCTATTCTTGTAGGGCACTGAGAAAGGCACTATGTGCTCTTACAATTCGATCAGAAACCGTATCTAGTGAAACGTTCCCGCTTTTCTGTTTGAAAATCAGTGAGCTTGCTTATTTCACAACTCGCTACAGTGTTGACGTTTCTTATTTTTGCAATGCGGCAGTACCATTAGATTGCTCAATGCGCAATTCTTCCACGATAGTGAAAGTGCGACGTGAAGAGCCCGAAACATGGATTTGCTGTTGATAGGGCCATGAAGAAGCCCGTAGGTCCATCGGTACGGGGAGAATGTGGTATAATGATTTTCATAGATGTCGTGCAAGCACACTTTTAGGTTGTTTAGCGTAATGGTCTGAGATATTTGTTTTGTCTTCTGCCCAGGACGACCTCTTTGTTGTTTTGGCCTATTCTAGCAGAGCAGGGGATCTCAGCGGCTCATGTTTCGCCTTTTCTAGTTCGGTGGATGAGGACACATTTCCCGACAACACGTTCTGGACGCCCTGGACCATACAACCTTCGCTGTGGTTGTTGCATTTCTACGTCCGAGTCCTCTTTCTTTTCCGAGTAGTTTCCACTGTGGTGTCGCCAGGACCTAGAAGGAAATGAAGGGCACCGAAACGAACTCGCATCTCTCCCTGTCTCCTTCTTTCTGTTTTTTTTCTCTCGCCCTGTCTCTTTCTTTCTCTCTCTATTTTTTCTCTCCCCCCCCCCCTTCTCCCGCAGCGTAGCTGCACTCCGCGATGGTGTTTTTTTTTTTTTGTTTGAATATATATGGTGGCCTGCACCGCGCTCTGCTGCAGTGGATTACGGAGCGCCGTTTGCTGCTTTTCGGGTGTGGGAAGTATCTGGAATGAGTAGACGGTATGGTTGCCGAACTAAGGGGTGGGCAAGTCGTCAGGTGGATCTGGCAGTGCCGTTCAAAAGCTGAAGCACTTCGGAGAGGAAGGCTTTACTTAACCTACTTAGCTGTGTATTCTGAGAAACTGCTTGCGGCAGCTCGACCTTATGGCAAGAGCCTGGCACGGAACATCGACGAACGATCAGCTGCGTTCAGGCTTTTCCACAACTTCCACGTGATAGGAATAATAGTGGGTGGGTAATCGTGGTTGGTATTTCTGTCCAGCCGTGCATTGGATGGTATACACCTTCGAAGTAATGCATTGACCTAAGCTTTGTCGGATCACCTGGTAGACGTTTGGTGAGGAAACGACGAACGAGATTGCCCAGGTTGTTCTCTGGGCGCGGAATGGACCAGGGCCTACGTACGGATTTGTGCCACAGGAGGCTTACACAGATTACCCCGCAGAACGTCGGGGTTAGTCGGTAAAGGGAAAGGCAGACTTAGTGGATAAGAGAGGGTACAAGGCAGACATACCATCTGCCCCCAACACGGTACAAGTTTATTCCGACTGTATTGGACTGGAAAGATGGCGTGTATGTACATTCATGATGTGGTGGCGTTGTGTTCGGCTGAAGATTGTGGATAAGAGATGAGATATCAGTGCGGAGGAGAATGGTATTTGAAGTCGATCGAGTCCGGATTCTGTATGTACAGGGTAGGTAGGGGCCGTGTGGTTGTGACGCCGTGGGGTCTATACCGCAATTAGAACAATCGATGCCGGTACTCTGTGGCTGTGGCGCGGCGGGCTCTCACCGTAGTCCGAATCTGTTGATTGCCAGCTTGGTGGGATGCACGTGGACTTTGTAAAGCCAGGTGCACATGACTCGTGGGCTCGGATGCACATGGACTTGCTACAGCGAGGTGCATACGACTCACGAAAAATGTGGACATTGCTACGTTGGAGTGAACGTAGACGTGCATGCATTGCCAGCTGTGTGGTTTGTGAGTGGATAGGATGATGTGCTGTAGCTTTGTAGGTTAGGGGTCAAGGGGGGAAACGCAATTTGCATGGCTCTACGGATTCGAATATGGATTCCTTGGCTGTCTACTAGCTAAAGGTCACAAGGAATGGCGATTGCGTTGTTCTCTGAAATGTAGAGTTCAACTCTTTTTGGTTAGAGATTTGGACCGTTGCGTGTCATTCGCAGAGGCCATGCTAGTGTTCTCTGTTTCGTTCCTAAAATAATGTACCGAGGAGAAATGCAGAATGGTTATAGCTGAATACTGGTAAAGAGAAAGGTGCTAAAAATAGAAATCCAACCTGGTGTTCACATCATCAACTTTGGTATACGACATGCGCGTGGCCAACTGAAAGCTGTAGAATGTAGTCTTTTCTGAACCGGGGATTAGCGTGCAAGTACTACGAGACCCGCCTCCTCACACGATGCGGTTTTCACGTCATCGTAACTGATATAGACCATGCTCGTGGCTGCTAGATAGCCGTAGTAGAGTGCTTGGTCTTCTGGACCGGGGTTTAGCGTGCAAACGCTAGGAGACCCGTCTACTGCAGGGCGACATTGTGAGGGAACTGACATAGACCATGCTCGTGGCTGCCTGAAAGCCGTGGTAGAGTGCTTGCTCTSCTGGACCGGGGTTTAGCGTGCAAACACTAGGAGACCCGTCTACTGCAGGGCGACATTGTGAGGAAGCTGCCGTGAGGTGTGCGGCAAACTGGAACGTTCCCGTTTTTAGGATCGAGCAGGGTCGAGCCTCCCTGTCCGGACAAAGGTGGGGTCGACCGGAAAGCCTAATGCCGCAGCTATTTCAAATAGCCGCAAAGGCGCATGCGCCGAAAATGGCCATGCCCAGTTTTGCCAAAATAGATTGCGAGCTACAGCTTTTAGAGGTATGCTCCACTGTGCGACATCTCGAGCTATGCAGCAATTTTTTGCTTCGTCAGGAGCAGTATTGCTCGGAGGTTTTTTCGTTAGGCTTCCGTCACTGCATGCAATCCCGGTTATCTTTTCTGAACGGGACGGACTCTCCAGCGTGCTCCGCTTCGTTTATTACGGTGCACGTTCAGGAAGGAGGCACGGGGATGGGACGAGTGCTCTGTCAAAGTGGACGTGGACGTGCGCTTTTGGGCGAGAGAGTCTTGCTGATCGAGTAACGAACTGCTAGGAAGGTCGGTGGTGTTGGGGTCCGTTTGCTCTCGCATATCCCGGCAGGCTACCGTCTTCACACGAATAGAACGCCCAGTCATTATAGCTGCATTTGTTTCAACTGTCAGTCCAGATGCAGCGATAACGACCGGGCGTTGTCTTCGGGTCAAGACGGTAGGATTTGTGCTTTCCGAAGAGTTTCAAGACTCTTTCTGGCTGGGTGTTCTATTCGGGTGTTTCAGCTCTGTGCGAAATAGCTGAAGTGATATATGTGCGTTACGTGTACCTTGCCGCAGTTTGATACTTTTTGTGCTGGATTTTTTGTTTTTTGGAGACCTTCACAAAGTACGAAAACGAAGCCAAAAATGTCTTCTGACAGTGGCGATTACCCATCGGAGACGGTCACAATGCAGCCATGTTTTCGGACGCTGGTAATTACCCTAGGACTTTTTTTTTTTTTTTTTGGTAAAAATTTCAGCAATGCTGGCGGACACCTTTCAATTCGTGTTGGTTTATAGCGTTTCGCTTAGCGGCGGGTCCCACTAAGGGGGGGGGGGGAATCCGCAAGTGCTAAATTTGAAATGCAACGTCTTTCTAGCATAGCCGTATTACCTGTCCGCGGGGACCAGGCCCCCCACTAAGCCCGGTGTAGTCTCGGTTTCTGTGCGGCAGGGTGCCACGAAGATGCACAGGGCCACTAAGTCAGTGGACTTCTCTGGAATGATGAAAAATCAATCATCTACCAACCACTGACTTCTATAGATAGCCACCTAACTTGACATATTCATTAGTGCGACCACCAGTGGTTGCCCTACGTACGACGGCCTTTTCTCGTCTTTTCTTCGTCTAGGACTGGATGCCGAAATGATCCACAGTCAGTGCAGCTTACTCATTGAGCACTGGTCATACTGCCAGCCTTGTACTTTCGCTGGTGGGGCATGGCCGGCGGTCCCCTCCATGGGCAGGTAATGGGCTGGTTTTTGAGAATTTGAGAAATAGACCACGGCAGGACGACGGGATATAAAGTGAATGAAAACTGTGAGAAATAACATAAGGAACTTAAAAAGGAAACAGCCGAGATAATGATATTCTCCTGGTCTGAACCCTTGGGCGGCCGTTAAACCGCCACTGCCGATGAAGCATAGTGAAAGGTATTTCCATGGGCCCGGGATGATGTGGCAGCGTCCGGTTCGTTCCCTGTGCACAGAGGATTTTCTTTTGGAGAAGTTCTCGATGAATGCGTGTCATTTTTGCGCACGGTCCATCCCAATCTCCCTGTCAGCGAACCCGCGGCCCGTGGCCTGACCAACGGAGACGCTCGAGAAAAAAGCAAACGAGGCCGGTGAATTTACACAAAAAT